CACAAATGATTAATCCCACTAAATTCCCCCTGGACCCACCAACACTCCTGCCTGCCCCTCCATCCACCATGAATAACTTACACCCGTTGCCCTGTGTGGCTCCTGAGAGTCGTGAGTGTTTAGACACACTTTTTCCATTATACATTCACACATTTTAAAGTAAGCTATGTGAATGTAGATTGGATGTGGATGTACACACCTTAAAGAATCAAGACCAACACCTGGCGAATACTGTGGACAGCTCAGTACTATGTGTAGCTGAAGTCAAAAAGGGGAAAAATGGAATGGGATAGAAAATAATATAATACCATTTCCTTTCCTGGAATATTATGTGCTAGTAATATCACTGTGACAAAAAGGACAGAGCAGCCATGTAAGGGGTAAGAGTAGTGAGATGGAAGGAAAATATGCCATAGGAAAAAAAACTTAAATGATCTTAGCTTAAAACTGAAATATTGTTTATTGCCTATATTAGAAACAGCACTGACACAACATAAAATGAGTAAATCTAATTTCTAAAAGAATAATCAAAGAACACAGGACAGTATAGTATGTGAAGTTTATCTAGGTCCTTAGAATTGAACTAGTTTGGTACAATAAAATTAACTATTCTGGAAGAAACACAAAAGGCCTGTGAAATAATTTGTTTCTTTGACTCAAAGATGTGGACCCATCACCTTTGGAGAGAATACTGAGACAATTTATATATATTAAATATGAAGCCAATATATAAAAGACACATTGATTAAAAAATTCTGCAGAGGGAAAAACAAATGAAAAGTTAGTGGCACTGATTCCTATAAAACTCTCATTAGGCCTGTGTTTGCATGATTCCTCTGTGCCTTTTCTGCACAGGATTGCTCTCCTGAACTGTGAAGCATCATGAAACTAGTTACTCATGCAATTGTGGCTTTCAGTTACACAATGTACAGTTTATAAGTTTGCTGCTTAATAATTTTATAATGTGAAAAAAAATAACCAGCTAGCTCTGTATTTCAAAATGATTAGTTAGTAATCATTGTTAGTAATAATCTCCAGCAGTATACATTTATAAACTTGCCTAAAATTATTGTAATTTTTTTGTAATAAAATAAGAATTATTCTTACATTTTTCTATTCGTTTCTGGAAATACTCCTGCAGCAATATGTATCTCAAGAATATTTATCAGAGAAAGGACTAGCTATGGCTCTCATATTTAATTTTTAATTTGAGATCTTCAGTATAATCATCTTGCCTGTCAGTATACAAAGGAATAATTTCATAATTCATTGTTATAAACAATTGCAAAGGAACTCTAAGTAAACAAAGCTCTGTTCTTTTCTCCAATGATCCCAGTGGATAAGAAAATAAAACCTTCAGGAAGTCAGATATGTGAAGACTGGGGGGAGTTGGACCAGCTTGCTTTGAAACACACAATCAGAATTTCCACACTCTGAAAGTACTGGATAAAGGCATAAGGGACTATCTTCATGGGACTAGAGCCCAGGCTCGGTTTGTGATTACATTAGAATCTCAGTTTTCAATTTAAAAAATAAAATAAAATAAAATTTAATTACTTCAGTCCCTCACAGTTGTAAGGGGGAAGGGGAGAAGCTTAGAAATTTAAGCCAACTACTATCCCAGTAGCAATGTCTGCCTGAGTCTTCAAGCAGACTAGAACAATAATTCAAAGGTGAGGCATGTTATGCTTTTCAATGAGATTTTAATTTCAAGACCTATTGTTTGGAGGACCTTACCCTGAATCTTCTGTTGGGATGAATTTGGCATGGGGAGAGAAAAGCAAAGATGTCCTGTCCCTCCTACTGAAGCAGACAGCCTTTCGCCACTAAGATAAGTAGTTTGGGAGACTCTTACCTTCTGCCTCCCAAGTTAAGGGTGCCCTGTTTTCACTCCTTAAGAGGGACAAGTAAGCCCTAGACTGCTGCCCCTTGTTCTCTGGGTGGGGAAAAGAAGAGGTTCCCTATTCCCTGTCATTCTACTTGGAGTGGACCTCACATTGAGATGTGCCCAGACCAGTGGTTTTCAACCTCTTAGGCACCCCTCGGAAAATGTCAGCTTTTAGCTTTCACTTGTTTCTTGAATAAGGAAAAATAATTGAGCAATTCTTCTGTTACAAAGAATTCAGAACCACCACAACAGGGCACTTGACTCTTTTTTGACACTATGGATTTCTATTTGAAATCTCTGGATTTATCCTGTGAATTATGTGTAGGTGTTTGCACACCTAACGGTGCTAAAATGGCACATTTAAAAATTTCATGGAACCCTGGCTGAGAAACACTGGCCTGGATCATCAGATGCCTTGATTCATCTCTCCATCTAGACAGGCACTACCAGCTTTCTTGATAACAGAGGATGTTGGCTCTCTTGATCTAGGATGGCTGATAGTCTGTAATGAAATCTCCCTTTGGAATATCTCTGCTGAGAATGTTGTCTCCTGAGTGCTGGTTGGCTTTGAGGGCTTCAAAGGAACTGTGCAAATGGGTAGATTCCAATTACTCTAGTAGTACCTCTAGAACCCAGCCAGATGGTTAATAGGGGTGTGTGAAATGGGCCATATTAGATTTGGATTTGGCCTAAATTGGGGACAGTGATTCAGTTTGTTGATTTGGATCACTTTCCCCGATTCGATTCAGCTGAATCCGAATCTGAAGATTTGATGCTGATTTGGAGAATCAGCCGTCACAGCTTTAACACAGTTAAAGGGAGATGGTCACCGGGACCGGTAGGACAGTGGGTCCCCTCACAGTAGGATAGGGGATGAGGGTGACCCGCTCCCACAAAGAAAGCCCTGAAACCAGGGTAAACTTACCAGTTTCAGGCCAGGAAGAGTGGGACAAGCCGCTCTGGGAAGAGCCACCCACGCAGTTTGTAAGCCATGCTTACTTCCAGCTGCAGCTGGCATGGGCGGCTGATGTCATCATAGAATGCCACACATCCAAAATAAAACCTGGCACCGGCAGAGACGCGGGAAGAGTGGGGGAGACAGCCGGCAAGGAAGGCACTCTCCACGCCGAGCGCAGGGAGCACCAGTGTGCAGCCAAAGAGCTGGCGTAAGGGAAGAAAAAGAGGTCTTTGACAGGAGGGAGGACCCAAAGCAATGTCAAAGGATGGCTTGAGCCACAGGCACAGGGGCTTTGAGGGAGGAAGGGTTGCTTGCCTATTCCCTCAGTTTTTTGTGGGGGGGTTTTTTTGTCTTCTCCATTGTCATTCTTTTGGTTTTTCTTTTCCTTTTGCTGTGGCCGGGGCATGGGTAGTGCTCCGGGAGACAGGAGCAGCCTTAGATCCATGGCAGGCAGCCGGCTGGCTGTGAAGAAACACCGGGAAGCCAGGGCGAACCAGCTGCACAGGCAACGTGAAGAGCTAGGACTGGTGCAACTGGAAGGCAAGCCATGCAAAGACCAACTGACTCGTCCTGGAGGCTGGTGTATGGAAGGGGTGTAGGGGAGGTGGAACCCCACGGATACCTGTCAGGAGGCGTGACCTACCTGGGAGAGTCCTCAGAAGGGGAACCCACCACTGAAGGTTCGATCAAAGTCATGGCAGGAAAGTTTCTGGGCTTTCCCTGGGGTGATTGAGGACCCCTCCAGAGGTTACAAGACCCCACACAATGCCCAACACTGGGCGTACATGCTAAGGTGAGCCTCAAGGCCAGGCGGGCACACAGCTTTAAATGTCTTTTCTACATACCTCGAGATACCAAGTGTGGCTTATGAATACTGCAATTCTGAGGCAGATGGAACGTCCCACAGGAGTGTGTGTGTGTGGGGGGGGGAGGGGCATGTGCTTAGCAGCAAACCCAGAAGTACTTTGAGTCCACTTTCAGGTCCACCGTGAAGCATGCAGCCCCCCCCCCCCCGTATCCCCTCAGCTTGGCAATTGGCTGTGGCAGGACCCTGGGTGCTCCCCCAGACCCAGGAGGCCCCAGCCACAGAGCCAGGAGAATGTGGGGGGGCCCCCCAACATGCTCCCCAGTGGACCCAGAAGTGGACCCCCCATGGTCCTGTGGGATGCTCCATGCACCCCAGCATTGCAGCATTCAGGAGCCGCCTGCTAGCTTGTGGTATGTAGAAAAAACATTTAAAGCTGTGTCTATGTCCAAATTGCTGAATCTTTCCAAATATCTCCGAATCAATTCAGAGGGTTCTGATTTGACTTGGAGAAATTCAAGGGTCTCCTGATTCATTTCAGATTCAGAGATTTGGCCACTAAATCAGGCCAAATCTCTGCCAAATCAAGTCAGGGACTGAAGCTTCGCACACCCCTAATGGTTAACACCATGGGGAAGTGGGCAAATCCACCTTTATGACTGTAAAGCACAGTAGAAAGGGGCCTCTGAGCAACTAACAACAACAACAATACTAGTAGTAGTAATGGACCTAGCAGTAACCGACAATAAGGGTCTGATAGCAAAAAGCAGGTCATGGAGAACATGCAGCCCAAAGAAGTGGAATGCTGGTTTCAAAGAGGCTCAGAACAAGTCTGCAGGATTGTAATTGGACATCCTAGTAAGCTGCAGCCAGATAAATTTGGGTTAGACCTGCTGTATTTTGTGTTATATTCTCTATCTCTATTCATCTCTACATTCCCTTTTATGATCACGGAATTAGGATGACTTCAGGTATACCTTGGAATCAGAGCTCTATCCTGAAATGTTTTGAGATACCAAGCCTTGATCTAGTATAAACATGTGATTAATTTTAAGTCCATGTCTATGATGGGATAATTCATATGTTAAAAAATTAAGCATATAAGAAGATACTTTTCTGGATCAAGCCCAGCATGCTCAATTTCTTGTAGGATTAAATTATTAGATATTGAAAAAGATTTACTAAAACAACTTCCAAAGGTGGTTTTGAAAATAAGAGATCACACTTTTACTATTACCATTGAAAGACTATATTAAGAAAATTAATTCCAGGTCTTCCTGCACTCAGGTTGATCTGATTCTTCATAGTTATAGTTTTTGAGCCTTTGTCAGACAATTTCTTTCCTTGGCGTTTGAATCTTTCCAAACATTTGACAGTCACCTTAGTTGTCAAACACACACTTAATCCTTTTAAATATCTTTCCTGATATGTCAGTCTCTTCAGACTTTTAATTACACCGTCACTCCCCTCTGAATTCTTTCAGGTTGTCAATAGCTCTCTGGAGATGAAGTACCACAATTAAACACAGGATTCTCACCAGTGCCTAATTAATCATTCATCATTAGTAGAAGGGTCTTTTTGTGCACTCACTCTCTCTGTAAGTCATTGTACTTTTTTCTTACTTCCTAAAAACAGTCAATCCTAATAGCAAATGGTACACAGCAACATTTTCTGATTAAAAAAAAAAGCAGCAAAACAGAAAAACAACACTTCTTTCCCAAATACCCTTGTGGCAGATAAGTCTGTAATGCAAGTGATCACAGAGGCATAACTGGATGCTTGAGTGCCCTAGATAGCAACCACATGTGGGTCAGTGTCAGTGGTTGCACTGCTGGTGGTGCAGCTGCTGCTACCTTTGCACTCCCTGAGGATCCGTGCCTGGGGTTTGTATCCTGCTATCCTGCTTTGTTACACTACTGGGTCACATACACATAGTATACATGAAGTCCTTCTGAAATATCTCTCAGAAATTTTGCTAAATGTTCCCCTAGCAGGGAAAAAAATGTCTTTGCCTGCCAGTGTAATTGTTCTTCAACTCACCTGGTGCTGGGTCAGGTTTTGCTGACTGACACCTGGACTGTCTGCACAGACTGCTGCCATCATTGCCCATGGTTAATGGTCTAACCAGGGAGAAGTGAGGGTGAGTAGAAGAGTTTGGACTTTGGCACCAAGAATTCCGTGTTGGGACAAGGGTTGCTGGGGCCTTTTTTTCTCTGTAAGCAGAAAAACAAATGAAGGTGTTATGCATATTGTGTTTCAGTGGGGAGACGCATTGGCAGCCGGAGCTTTCCCCATGCTATGGTAAGGAAAAGCAATGGCCTCTGACCTGAACTGAGTCATTTCAGCCTGCAATCTGAGGAGGTTGCTGACTGCTGATCTATAATTTTACCAAACATTGACCATTTACACTGAAGTTTTATATGTAACCTTTCTGCCTCAGGTTGAATCTACCTCAGATAGAATGTACTCTGGGAAGTCTGAGCAAAACCGACCCAATCACTTCCAAGAAAAAGGCTAGTGAAGGTAGATTAGCCAATGTTTTTGAATTGTCTCTAGTAGGAAGTTGCAAGTTAGCAAGGGAATTATTCTGAGGAAATAGCTCTTAGGCCATCCTTGTGAAAATCTGTCCACGTTGGCCAAATCATGCAAACAGATTTCTGTCATCAGGACGCATGCAGTAGAATGAATGCAACTGATATGCCCTGAATTTCAAAACATTTCACCTCCTTTGCATGTGTTGTCATTCCTCAGTGAACTTGCTTCAGGACACCAATAACCAAAACTCTGGAGAGACCATGGAAGAAAAATTGCTAAGGCTGCTGTTCCACTTCAAAATATCCTTGGAACAAAGTCCAGTGGGCTGGGCATCAGGGCACCCTGGGTATATCTGTACCACTTAATTATAGCTCTAGGCAGTGCTGTACCGAAACATACTGCACTCAGACCATGCAAGCTAACTTTCTAATCACAAGCATTATAGTTATCTTAGGCTAGGTACAAATAGTCAAAAAGTCTGAGGCTGAATTGATTCAATATTTGCAGGTTAGTCTAAACTGTGTAGATTGAACCAATAAGCAAGTGAATAGCCATTCACTTTTGATTCTGGAAATGCAGCCACCGGCCAGAAGCTGTGGCATATTAGAGTATGCTTCTCTGCTCAGCTGAAGCAAACAGCTTGGGACAAGGCTAGCCCACCCACCCTGCAATGGGAGGTTTGCAGAGAAGATGCAAAGCATCTTGGGATGTTGGGGGACTCTGAGTTAACTTTAATCTGGAGAGCATCTGGGACAGAAGTTCAGTAAACTGATTTAACCTAAATCTGTTAAGTCTGATATTATATCCATTCAGGTTTACCTTACATCGGTTTCAGCCATTTTGAAAGTGGTTCATGTGCACTGAACTTCTGTTGTGTTACAGATTTGAACTGGTTTTTGATCACTTATATCGGTTTATGTGTAATGTCTGTCCCTAGCCTTAGTGTCTTAATGCAAGGTTCTCCACCTTGGGGAAAAAAACCCGCAGCATCCTTATAGGCTCGGCAGTGCTATGTTGGCTAGCACTATGGAAGAAAGAGACTTGGGGGTCATCATTGACCACAAGATGAACATGAGCCTGCAAGCCGATGTGGCGGCTAGTAAAGCGACCAAAACGCTGGCTTGCATCCATAGATGCTTCTCAAGCAAATCCCGGGACGTCATTCTCCCCCTGTACTCGGCCTTAGTGAGGCCGCAGCTGGAGTACTGTGTCCAGTTTTGGGCTCCACAATTCAAAAAGGATGTGGAGAAGCTTGAGAGAGTCCAGAGAAGAGCCACGCGCATGATCAGAGGTCAGGGAAGCAGACCCTACGATGACAGGCTGAGAGCCCTGGGGCTCTTTAGCCTGAAAAAGCACAGGCTCAGGGGTGATCTGATGGCCACCTACAAGTTTATCAGGGGTGACCACCAGCATCTGGGGGAACGTTTGTTCACCAGAGCACCCCAAGGGATGACGAGGTCGAATGGTCACAAACTACTTCAAGATCGTTTCAGGCTGGACATAAGGAAGAACTTCTTTACAGTCCGAGCCCCCAAGGTCTGGAACAGCCTGCCACCGGAGGTGGTTCAAGCGCCTTCATTGAACACCTTCAAGATGAAACTGGATGCTTATCTTGCTGGGATCCTATGACCCCAGCTGACTTCCTGCCCTTTGGGCGGGGGGCTGGACTCAATGATCTTCCGAGGTCCCTTCCAGCCCTGATGTCTATGAAATCTATGAAATCTATGAAAGTCTTGTCATGTACACTCCAATAAATATCTTGGTCTGGAGCTGTCATTGAGCAGTGTAGACTTACCTAATGAGTTTTAGACCAATCTTTTTAATTAATTGTTATAGTGAAAGTTCTGTGAACATCAGAACCTTCACATTGTAAAATCTTTGAGTTTGGAATTGTGTCATTTATATCTGGATGTCACCGTTGCACTTTTGGATATGCACTTTTGGAAATGCATAACAAATAATGATAAAATCAGGCTTTCTTGTAAAATTCCATGACTTCATTATTAAATCCTGTCTGATTTGAGGATTCTCTTGCATGGAACCTAAAAGAATATTCTCTCTGAAGGTTTAGGTCATTTCTTTCTTTTTTTCCAACTATTTCTCCCAACTCCTGGTATGGGAAACCTTCTTTGTAAGACACTTATTTAAAAATTGCCACTTACACAGCCAGGAAGAAATAGTGCTGTAATAAAAGAGTGTAGTCAAAGGTGGGGTGCCCACCTTTTAATGAAAATTGGTCCTTTTTCTTTTGGTTGGCCTTGGACAGCTTCTTCCTGTTCTATATCAGATAGTCTCAATTCTGATTTTCTTTGTTGTTTTATTAGTTTGGTTGGTTTTGTGTTATTCTTCAGGTGTTCACTGTCTTCTTGCCCCTTCCATCTCAGCTTTCTGTTCCAGTACATAGGAGTGCACCAGGCAACAGCCTAAAGAAAAAAGTATAACTCATTTGGTTACTGCATTTCCTCATCAAAATAACTGTTTCTAGTGATCAGTATGGGGACTTGGGGATCAGTGTCCTGAAGTATTTTTGAACAAGTGGTAAATTATCGTCAAAATAATAGCACTGTGCACCAAGCTGCAGACATTGCGTTTGCTTTTATAATTTGTTTTTAAAATTATAGGTTGGATTCATCATGTAATAGCTTTGACATTTTGCTGCTTGATTTAAACTAAATCAGCATTTACTAATGGCTCAATAAAAAATGGCCAACTTCATGGCTGAAATGACTTCAGGCATTATCTCATTAATAAGTGGACAAAGGTCTGTCCCACAAAAAGCCCTTGCAATTGACAGTTTTTCTGGTAAGGACTACTGGATGCTCAAGGATTGAATGACATGGGATGGGGGGGGAAATAACCTCAACTATATATACACAATGCTGGGTTTTGAACTAGGTGTTATGATTCAGGAAAGAGATCTTGGAGTCATTGTAGATCTCTAAATATGTCAGCTCAATGGGCAGTGGCAACCAAAAAAGCATCTAAAACATTGGGCATCGCTAACAAAATGGAGAACATCCTCACACCTCACACTATTATGTAAATCCATAGTGCACTCACATCTTGAATACTGTGCGCAGTTCTGATTCCCAATTTCAAAAGGATGTAGTAGAATTCAAAAAGGCAAAGAGAAGGCAGTGAAAATGATCAGGATCTTGGAGCTGTTGCCATACAAGGAAAGACTAAAAAGTCTAGGACTCTGCAGTTTAAAAGGAGCAAGCTGAGGAGGGATACGATAGATGACTCTAAAATCATGAAGGGTGTAGACCAAGTGAACAAAGAGCTGTTGTTTACCAAGTCCCAGATTACTAGAACTAGGGGGCACCCACTGAAATTAGTAGGTGACAAGTTTAAAACTAACAAGAGAAAATACTTTTATGCAATGCATAGTTAACTTGTGGAATTGATTGCCGCAGGTGGTGGTAGAGGCAGATAGCTTAGCCAGGTTGGAAAAGGGACCAGCTATTGAACACAACTGTTGGTGATGTTTTTTATGGCAATTCTAAACCAATAATGGTGGATGCCAGGGTAGGTATTGCATAAGGAATAGATCACAGTAGATCAGGGATGGGCAAAATGCGGCCCGGGGGCCAGATGTGGCCCACGGGGCCCCTAAAAATTTAGAAAATTAATATTTATCTGCCCCTGGCTGCCTGTCATGTGGCCCTCGATGGCTTGCCAAAACTTAGTAAGTGGCCCTCCACCCAAAATAATTGCCCACTCCTGCACTAGATACACCCAGTTCAATTCTCTCCCTCTATACCATCCACTCCTGCCGCTGTTGGAGACAGGATACTGGCTAGATGGACCACTGATCTAACCAAGTATAACATTCTGTACCCCAAAGTCCTTCTCAACTATCCCATCCATTTAGTCCTCCAGAGCTCAAAATTAGCTTGCCAAGACATGCAGGGTTCACAGAGGCCTAAAAGTTAAGTATGTTGTGTTTTGAGTTTTTCAGTCATGGGCATGATCCTGCAAACCACTGAGCACTGCAGCTTCAATCCAGCTAGGCCCTTTAAGCACTTGTTTAAGCCTCTGACTGAATCCAGTAAATTTAATAGGACCTAGTCCTATATAGTCAGCTCCAGGGTTTTAAAGGATCCAAAGTAGGCAACTGCGACAAAAGTTTTCCTCCAGTGCCATTTGCTCCGTGCCACAAAATTCGTGAGCCCAGAACTTTTGGTTTGTTGTTTCAGGAGCTCACACTCCAGCACACCTGCCCTTCTGCACTATTCTTTTATTTGCCAAAACATGATATGTCACTTCAGCTCTTCCCAATTTCTATTATGTAAAGTCATGCTTTTCAGAAGAAATGGAGTTAGCTTCTGCTAACCTCAGAGAGCAAGAGAAATGAACCATGTTATTAATTATGCTAAAAAAATAAAGCTCACTTGGCCACTTGGTTCACAAAGGATGGTGGTACAATCTAAGTCCATCCTTAATCGATTTTGCTCCTTCCAGAAAAAATCTGATGGAGGCTTATGAAGCACATTGGCATCTACTACCCATATCTGTAATGATAAAAAGAAGTAATTGGGTACAGGGAAGGCAGTCCATAGGTGTTTAGTGAGTGGTAGATGTGCTGAGAATGAGCTGGTTTTCTTTTCACCAGGCTTTGCAGTGTTGGTAACAGTTTCTCATTTACATGAGAGAGCTGAAATAAAGTGGAAGGGAACATATTTGGGGACCTGTAGCAACAGCTTATCATCATCATGCCCTGCTGTAATGGATTAACAGAGGTCAATGTGGGGGGTCTATTTTTCAGGCACTCATGGTAGGTTGGGCCAGTAGCATGGTTGGCCGATCTTGTTAAGGAACTGATTAACAATGGGTGGTTCTTATTAATTTATTCAGGGTATTTCCATAGATGTATAATATCACCTTTAAAATCCCAGTTCACAATTGCTTCTAGAGTTGCTGTATGCAAGAGAAAACTATTTTCATTGAGCAGTGGCAATTTTTTCATGCTTTTGTTTTACCCAGAGGATCTTAACCAGTGTGCTGTGCAAATGCAGCAAAATTACTACAGCCATTTTGACCTTTACTAAAATCAAAGACGCAAAAAGAGCCATTATGGAAACATTCTCCTGACATCAGACCACTATAATGCACTTTTACAAACACCACTTCTAAAGCATTTTGTATTTCCATACCTGCAGGACAATGCCTTTAACCATTTCCTGGAAGGAAAAGCAATCTTTCTTTAATTTACAGTAGAAGTACCTTGAAAAGATACTTATGCTTTCTCTCTTTATAGAGTGCTTGCTAGATGGCAGCGTGCCAAAGTGCTTTTGTGACTCTATTACATATATGCCGTTGCATATCAGTGATTTGTGGCACTTCTGGATATATGATAATGTGCATTTGTGCTGTTCTCAGATTAGGGCTCAAACTGAGTTGAGTTGAGCTGGATTGATGAACTGGGACTTTCTTTTTTTTTTTCCAAGGTGGCCATCTGATTCCCCAGAATCTCATCTTCCATTTAAATAAATAATGTTATGGGCAAAAAAAGATAATCTTATAAGCATGAAACCACTACAAGCAAATGCAGCAAGAGAGAGTAAACCAATAGCTCTAAGCAATATGACCTTGTGTGTTCATTTCAAGAGGGTGTTTAATTCAGACACCTAGTGATAAAGTAAATGCCAGCAGGGTTAAACTATTGCACTGCTGATCAAAGTATATGCAAAACAATCCCCTAAAGTGCCAGAGGAGAGGGAAGGAGCCCAGGGGAGCATCTAAACCCAACCAAGATGATCTCACAGAACCCTAAAAAGCATCCAAGCCCTGCACCCAACCAGCCAGCTAGTACCCCTGTGCCCAGTGCAACAAGGTCTAAGCTTACTCTGAGGGGTCTAGGGCCAGGTGGCATCTTCCCTGGTTTGAACTGAGGTTTCCACTATACTTTGATCACAGTTTGTTATACTTGGTTGGGAGTGTAGCTATAGCATTTGGGGAGGGGAGGTAATTGTCCTGAAGAATATCTGCCTCCCCCCAGTGGCAGACCTCCACCTGCCAAATGCCCCCACCCTAGCAAAGCTCCAACTTGGACAGGGTATGCTCCCTGCACATGCAGAGAGGTGCTGCCTCAAGATTTTGCCCCATCTCTGTGAAAATCTCTCTATGCCCCTGTACTCAGTTCACATGTTCAAATCTTTCTTTGAAACCCTGGAAAGTAGAAATATGCAAAATTTTAAAATAAAGCTTCTTTTAATGAAATCTTCCAGCATGGTCATAGGACTCTGAGAGCTAAGATCCTATGTACATACTATAATAGAGGGAGGTGCCAGTATATACTATAATACTGGGGGACGGCTACAAAGCCAGCAGAATCATGAGAGAAGGGTTTTTGTGGCTTGGGCTAAGGCACCTGGCAGAGCTGGGACTAATAAGCAGCCCCTGTGCTCAGGCCAGCTAATAGGCCAGGCTGGCCGGAAGGGACAAGGTTCCAGGGGAAAACAGACTTGCATTCAGGCTGGAAGGATAGTGGAGCCTTGATCATGGAGAGGGCAGGATTGGAGGGAGAGACAGCCCAAATGAGGGAGTGAGTTTTGTTGCAGTTTTTTCTTTTTGTTTCTGTGTGGTTTAGGCAGTGGGCCCAGGGGATGAAGCTGAAAATAAAGACTGTATCTATTAACCCAAAGCAGGGGAAGAACTTTCAATTAGGATTTTGCTTTTGGTTTGTTACTGGACACCTGGAATCAGAAGTGACTGTGAGGGGAGGTGGAGGTCACTTTGCACGTGCCCTAAAGTGTCCTATGGGTTTTCACCCCTTGAAGGTGAAGACTCATACACTGAAAGAGAAAGACAGGATTTAACCTGTTTTAGGTGCGGTAACCCAGAGGGCCAGAGCCCTGCTGTGCAGCTTAATTCCCAAGCTGCGCTGCTGCTAACAGAGAGCCAAGGCCAGACTGAGTAGGCCCAGAGTTGAAAAGAGCAGCTAGAGCAAATCAGGACCCAACTGAGAAGGTCTGGGCCAGGAGAAGTGTGAAAGGGGGAAGCCAAGTGGCCCAAAGGAATCCTTCCCACCCCACTTCAAAGCTCTGGATGCTTCCCATTTGATTCCACCAAGACCTGGCAGGCGAGAGAGAGGATGGTGGGTCAGAGGAGCAAGAAAGGAGGAGGGGGCAAATTAGCGAGCTGCTGTAGCTGCTGTCACAGTACCTATGCCTTAAATCAGCCAACCTAAGGGTGTATCTGAAGGCCACTGACAGGAAGCCAAGGCTAAAATGCAGAACCTGTATGAATATCTCCTGAATACCAGCAAAATGGACTGCCAATGGCACCTCAGATAACACCTACAATTCCTCAGGAGATCAAAAGTCATACTCTGTGGAGGCCATTACCTTTATTTTACAGAGCAGAAAACTGAAGGGTGAAATGTGTTGGCCAGGGTGACCCAGCAGACTAGTGACAAAGCCAGCACTGGAACAGCTTTCTCAAGTGCCAGTACAGTGCTCTCTCCACTAGACCACAGCAGGGGTTGGATAGAGATTGGAAGAGTATTACTATGACTTTTTATTTTCTAATTCAAGCCCTATCTTGGATATATCTTTGGGTTATACCTGTAACTATAGACAGGAACACAATTTTGGCACCACTAGATACATGATAAAACATCTCAAGGCTTTATCAAAGCTAGGTGTAGTGGGTCCTGGCCTGGTCACGGTGGCCCCTCGATTCTTGCCCTCCACTCCAGATCCTCAGGGTAATCTCCCTTCTTTCTCACCTGCCATGCCCTGATCTAATTGTTCTTAGTGAAAGGGAAGCTGCCCCCCAGGGTCCCAGAGTCAACCCAGGCCACTTTGTTCCTGGGAGACTCAGTTGTGGCTCTCATAGCCTTATTAGTGCCCTAGGGCACCAGTCACCTTATGAACTATTTGTGGCCTTTTATCCACGCACCAGCTTGTATGGGTTGGAACCCTCTTGGCTTTAGCTTGCTGGTTACTCTTCTTGTAGACTGCCAGCTTAAGCCCACTTTCTCTGGCCTGGCTTCCGAGTCTCAGCCTGGTCTGGCCCTTGGTCCACTTCACTTTGTTTGGGGGCCTTAGCCCTTAGCCCTTCTCTCAGGAGGCCTTTCAGCCCTTGACTCTTTCAGCTTGGGCCTGCCCCAATCCTGCTGTCAGAACTCAGAATCTGAAGCATCTCCCAGGCACCTGTGTGTGGCCTCCCATCCTCCCCTCCAAACACTACCTCATCCTCCAGTCAAACAAGCAAATCCCACCCCCCCTCCACCCAAACAAAAAAAACCCAATGTCAGCCCAATGCTTTAAACATACAGGCTGCTGCAGAAGCCTCTTCTCCAGTCCCCAAGTCTCTCTGAGCCCCTGGGGTACCCGCTCTGGCCTGCAGATTCCCTCCCTTGCCTGTCTGTGCTGGCAGGAGCTCTCTTCCACACAGGGTTCAGGGCTGCACTACCCCTCTGCAAAAGCTTTATAGCTCCTGAGCTCCTCCTCTGGTCTCCTGACTGGTGGCAGGTGTACTCTTCCAGCTTCATGGGCAGTTTACTGCACCCAGGCTGCAGTTGCTTCCTTGCTGCCTTCCCTCCTGCAGCTGACCTCTCTTTAGCTGCTTGGGGTCCTTTCTGCTGCAGCCTCTCTCCAAGTAACAGGAGCCCCTGGCTCCCTTTTTCACAAGGCATAACATATTTTTCCTTTCTAGTCTTGTTGTTTGCTTCAGTTCAGACCCATCCTCAATTCTGAAAATTAAGCCACAATATATAGATTTATAGCAGTGACAAGAAACTGGGGTTGAGAGGAAATAGCTTATCATATCAGGCCAGAATTCTTAAATTCAGTCTTGTTAGTCCATATTTAGACCCTTAAATAAACAGATGATGGGCACCAGCAGCTCTCTTTGTTCAGTGAGATTTGTAGGCAGACAGCCTTCATGCAATTAGGTTAAAAATCTGGTCCTAGTCTGTATGTTGCAGTAGATAAGGGGCAGCGGAATTATACGTGTTACATTTTGGCTGAGTAAGTTCAGATTCTACACTCACTGTTACTGTAGAGTTGGCACTCATTCTGATGTTTGGTGGGAATCTGAACACTGCTACTGCTTGGCCATTGACATTCTGCTGGAGGATATAATCCCCAATACTCTCTTCTATAACAGGGGAAGAGTTAAGGATCTTCACAAAATGACCACCTGGATGAACATCACCAATTCTTAAGTTTCCAAGAGCACTAAAATGATAAAAGTCAAATCAAAGATTTAAAGGCACTTCACATGTGATGTATTCATATCTTTAATTATAAAAATCTGCCCACAGGTTTGCATAGTAATCACCCCATATGCTGACTACTGACACAAAATATTTTGCATTTTATAGAGCTCTCTTCCTTTCATAAACTTAGTTTAATTTAAAGTTAAATCAATTAAATATTAACAAATGAAATATTTAACAATATTAAAAAAGAGTAATTATATGACAGATTTATGCAGCTCCTATTGCTGTTAGAAATTTAAAAGTTCTTTGTGGGGGAGGAAAAACATAATGAGGACCCCTATTGCTATTTGCTTTTGTTTTTCCTGGATGTATGTAGCCCAACATTTCTACGCTCAGCAAAGGGATTTGGCCATTAAAATCAGTGGGAGCTGGGTAGTAAATCCCCTTCTCAGGTTGGAAAATCTCAGTCATTGAGTTCAGTTATATATTCTTGCTAGCTTGCTCTCTTTCTCCTGATGCCCTTCATTTCTTCTTTCCTTTCTGGAGGAAGGGCCATCTTTATTAACTAACTCCAAAAGACAACATGTTAAAACAATTAAAACCCACTCTCTCTTTTGTTTTGGAACTGTAGCAAACCAGGATATGTTATTTATCTTCAGTAAACCCAGGGACTCCTTGAGGGAGCAGAGGAACACTTAATTTTGTGCAAGCCCTAGAAAACAAATTTATCTCCAACCTGTTCCTCTCCTGAGCAACTCACCTGTCAAGGGAGTGCTTTTAAAAACACAGCACTGTGCTGTAATGCTCATTGCAGGTTTTACTAGACAAATTATGAATGGAGCCTGTGGAATCATTCAACTTTCCGTGTGACACCCACTGTGATTTAGTTAGTTGTTTAGCCCTATTATGTCTTGGCTTTGTTGCCTGCCTGTGTAATGTTTTTGTCCTTGCTCTGTTTGCCTTGTTCTGTTCACATAAGACTAATTTGTGGACATCTGCATTTGTACTCAAGGCTGGCCCTACAGCACAGACAGAGCCACTCCACACACCTGGATTACTGCTGCTGCAGCCCTGGGAGACCCCCAGAGCCCCAGGAAAGGCTACTGGGGCTGACTAGGTGCTGGCCCCAGCCTCCCCTACCCAACCTGGAGCAATTCGGTGAATGCCAGAGTGCTCATGCACAGGTATACCCCAGGGACAAGTAGCAGTAGCATAACTATGTGCTGGAGCTATTTGTCCCCAGGGAAATGCATACGTGCACTCATGAAGACACACCCTAGGGGTATAAAGGACAAAAGTTACATAGTCCAAAGTCTTCCTAAAAGCTCCCTTGCCTCCCACTGCCCAGATTCCACTGGTGATACAAAAGCTCTGCTAGTAGTTCCTCCTATTCCTGCACAGAGAACCTGTTTCTAGAGGAAGGTTGGGCTTACATGAAGAAGAAAAAAGAGAAAAATTGTACGAGTCTGAATCAGGTAGTGAACAAATATGAAGATGGGCAGGAGAATCAAGAGGGACAAATGAACTTCAGGGCTTGGAAATGGGTGGAGCTGCAAAATATACAGATGTATTGAACACAGCAGAGGCACCAGCTGGCATTGGATGGAAACAGGAGGTGCCAGGGTAGGTGCTAGAATAAGACTTCTTTCTAGGCAAGACTTGAATCTGGACTGAAGGGGACAGGAGATTTGGAAAGGGTACCTGGAATGGGACCATGGTCAGACTGTTCTAGGAGTGTGATGGATAAAGCAGCAGGGGATCCATCTTCTCCCATTTCCAAAGGGTGGCTCTAAGCATCAGGCTGTATAATAGGAGTGTGCAAAATGGGTTCTATTCAATTTGGATTCGACCCGAATTGGGGGCAGTGATTTGATTTGTTGGTTTGAATCACCGTCCCCAATTTGATTTAGCCTAATCTGAAGATCCAATGCTCATTTGGAGAATCAACGAGCCAGACATAGGCACAGCTTTAAAGGTTTTTTTCTACATACCTCAAGGTACCAGGCATGGCTCGTGAATGCTGTGATGCTGGGGTGGATGGAGTGTCCCATAAGACACTTCAGCTCCAAATAGTAGGGGCCCCCTGCGTGCTTGGCGGTGAACCCAGAAGTGAACTGGAAGTACTTCTAGTTACCTCCTGGGTCCACTGGGGAGCACACTGGGGGCCCTCCACAGCCCCCCAGCTCAGTGATTGGCCACAGGGGAACCCTGGGTGCCCCCCCAGATGCAGGATGCACCAGTTGCTGAGCCAGAGGGGCACGGGGGGTGGGGACAGCACGCTTTCTGGCAGGCCCAGAAGTGGATTGGACACTGGAAGTGTTTCCGGTCCACTTCCGGGTCTGCTGCTGAGTGTGCTGGGGAGCCCCCTGCACTTCTGTAGGACACTCCATGTGCCCCAGCATCACAGCATTCATGAGCCCCTTGCTACCTAGAGGTATGTAGAAAAAACATTTAAAGCTGTGTCTATGTCCGAATCGCCGAATCTTTCCAAATCACTCCAAATTGATTTGGAAGGTTTCGATTCAATTTGGAGAGATTAAAGTGTCCTCTGATTTGATTTGGATTCAGAGATTTGGCCACCAAATCGGGCCGAATCTCCACCGAATTGAATCAGGGACTGAAGCTTTGCACAGCCCTACTGTATAATACTATGCATGTCAAGTCACCCTCTGTCCCACTTGTGGGCTTAAAATTGAACCACTGTGCAGCCAAGAATGCAGAATTTATTGGACCTGAAGGAGAGCAGGCAAGAGGGAGTCTGGCAGTTCAGTTCTGTAGCTGGCAAGGGGAAAAAAAACATGCCTTCTGGTTCCTGTTTCCCAGATGGATTAGGCATTTTACATTAGACAGTCATGAGATAAGAGAGAACCTCATTCTGTTCTGTGTTTGATCTCCTGGCCCCGTGTCTCTTACACTCTTTGCTACATGGTGACCCAGGTTCCATAGAAGATGGAAAGCATCTCCACATAGTATAGCCTAAAGCCTGATGGGCAGGGCACTCTCTTGGCAGGTGAGAGATGTAGGGTTGGATGTCTTTGGGCTGAGAAGGACCTAAAACCCTTGTCTGACACCATCTAGGTGATGCTGCAGCCACTAGGCTATCATACAAAAGGTGGGCATAATCACAATTCTTTTTCCTCTCCAGCTGAATTATAAAGAGTCAGCCCTGGTCAGTTATTCATCTACTTTCAGAAATTTTACATACAGCATGACTAAAACAGGGAACTGGAGAAATTGCAGCTCCTTGAATGCTGTAATTCACCATTAGATCCATCTAGACCAAGGAGATCAAGATTGAAATGACTAAGCTCTGGACAGAAGCAGGAGTTCAGACACATTCCTGTACTCAGCGTTTCCTACTGTCTTGTTCTGGAAGACTCCATGTTCACCATTGGGTGGTTCTGATTTGCCCTTTACAGGGCACTGACTATAGAGTAAGCCTAGGAGCATAATTTTGTTTTTTCTGATCAACCTCATGGAGCCATGCCTAAGTTTTGCACACTGAGAAATATATATTAGAGGCATGCAAGGTACATTTCTGGATCTCACTTCTGATCTAACATACTCTACTGTTCAGATGTGGATTTGGCTCAGTCTATCCCTCATAAATGTATGCAGGATGTATCTGCTGTAAAATGGATATTGATGATTTGCAATGTTTAGAGTGGTTTCCATCTATTCTTCTTACATTGAGCAAGAAATTCATACATAAATAACAGCTGAGTTAGACTTAATGTCGCTCATGTGCAAACAACAAGGAAATAGGACAGGATTCACAAGTATAACAGCACTCTCTAAGAATCAACATATTACTGCTATGATACTCTAACACTTTTGATTGATCAATAAAATTGCTCTCAATGTACATCAAAGACCTGAAAATGTCACTGCAATTACAAATCTCAGTTCCCACCTTTCAGCATTTCATTATTTAATAATGTAATTTTATTTATGACCTTAAAATACTATCTTAACATTTTTCACATGACACACACCAAAATAACAAAAGAATGTAGAGCTGATAGAAAGTTGTAAGATCAACTGACCACAGACACAGTGAAATCCAGGGATCCAGTCCAAATCTGGTGGTAGTACAGATCCCCCTGGTAAACTGGGGATCCGAGGCAGTTAAAGCAGGAAAGTAGGAGGTTAGAGCATACATGACTCTTGACGTATGGCAAAGCCAGTCAACTGCAGCATAGATTGTTATTAAAGGACTGTGGTGCAGAAGTGGTTGAGGAAGCTTTTGTTTTCCACTGACATTGCAACTGCAAATGCTGTCCAATGGAGTTGTGTCCAGGTGGCGAATGGTCCAGTTAATCTGGAGTTCTCTCTGCCGAGAAGCCAAGTCTTCTATAGTCTGCTGTAATGTGATTACCACATACGTTGGAGAAAAATTTGTCTGTATCCAGCATGGATGGGTTCAATGTTGGTGTTGGAGAAGCTTGATCTTGTCTGACTTTATATGGGTCAGTGTCAATTGCTATCACCAGTGATACAGAAGATGTGCTTGGGGTGATGTGGAAAACCGGTTGTGAACTGGACCTGTGTTTCTCCTGGCTTGTAAAAGTCAGCCAGGGAGACTGAGGTCACTGTTGGTGGGAGTTGTCAATGCCTCCCTTGGAGAGGGCAGGGTGCTGGTCATTCTTAAGTGTGCAGTTGTCTGGCCCCTACTCAAGAAACTGTCTCTTGAAGCTGGTTGGGGAGTCAGCAATCTCCCCGTTTTCAACCTCTCATTTTGGGGAAGATCATTAAATGGATGGCATATTTGGATGCTATTGAATTCCCAGATACATGTCAGCCTGACGTTTGCCCTGGGTATAGTATGAAGACTGCTTATAGCCTTGACATTGATCTTCAGCCAGGAGATCAACAGGAGAAACTGCCCTGTTGATCTTACTGGGTCCTCCAGGGGCCTTTGATACAGTTGACTAATGAGGTGCTACTAAAACATTCACATGACCTGGTGGGTATTCACAGGACTACTCTTAATTGATTTGTTCTTTCCTAGCAGGAAGATCCAAGAGGAAGGTGACCGGAGAGCTCAACATTCCCTTCAGACCTTTCATGTGAGGTCTTCCAGGGCTCCATGATATTGTCTCTCTTCTTCAAAGTGTATATGAGGCTGCTGGGTGTATTGTGTGGAGATTCAAAGCGAAGTGCCATCAGTGGCATAATTAGAGTGGAGTGACTAAGGCAGCTGCCCCAGGCACAGACTTAGGTAGGGGAT